ACAAAATCATTTTAAATTTGATGAATATTGCCAAAATTTGGAATTTAAATGCTTATAAAAAAAAATCGTGCCTACGTATTTTATTATTTTTCAAATGCTATTGTAACAATACCTATATCAAGATCCTTGTATTAAATTTTCATGCTTTTTAACCCAACCAAAAAATTTATTGACATTTATAGAAAACAATCTTACTGCAAGAAACCGTAATGATGACACAAAAAAAAAAAAAATTAAATAAATAAATATTATAATACACATCATTGTAAAATCGTTACATTCATCGCTCCGCTCAGATACTAAAATGCTCCTACCGTGTGTACTATAATTAATTAGTGGCCTGTCCCTCATCTAATCTATAACAAAAGTACCCTTGTTATTTTTTTTCTTATTTTAACATTATCATAATTTACTACCTTTACGTTACGTATAATATTAGCAGTTTTATGCCTATTCTGTTTGATATGTGGTTAACTTTTAGATATAGACTTGATTAATAACTTTTTTGGACATTTTTGAAATTGCATTCGTTATCTCGAATAATTGCCTACACTCGCCACGAAATAATATAAAATATAAAAATGCTGTGGTTTTTTATATACTTGCGTATCTATAGGTTAGTTATCTGCACTAACTCGTCAAGTATATATTTTTTTCAAATTTAGGATGACATTATGCCTTGCCGTCGCGTGAAAGGTTGATACATTTTCTATCGCCTTTTGGTTATCAAAAACATTGTGTTTCTGGTGTGTTACACTTAATTTGTATACATCCAATTCAACTTTCTTAAGTTCCTGGTGAGTAACTGCATCAATTTATAACCTTTAGGTACCAAGGTTATTTAACGCTTGACGATATTACACTAAAATCAAATTAATGTGTATAAATTAATTAACCTAACCTATTGAATACAATATTTAACTATTTTTAATAACTTTTATATTTATATTATAATATTTAAATATTAACAATAATATTTGTTTTTATATCATGTACCTATCTATAATTCTCTAAAAATTCTATACGTCAAATAATACAGATAATTATCAAACAGTTGATAATGAATGATATCCATTCTTTTAAAAGAAGCATTAACTTGATAGTATGTTGTTTAAAATCGTGATGTAAAACAAATGAATATTATTGTTAATATTTGAAAGCTATTTATTATATATTATTTTTTTAATGATAAGTTCCTATGTATTTGTAATTAAATATTAATTATGTGGTAATAACATCAATTAGCTTTAAAAAAATATTTGATCAATCACTTTAATGTGGTCGTGAGTAATATTGTAGTCTGCAGATTTTTTTCCGGGATTGTTCATCAGAGATTTTATTCCTCAATTCACTGTCTGTATATTATAGTTCAGTGCATATATTTTGTACTGTAAATTTATACTTAATAATCTTACCAATATACCGAGCAATAAACCGATATGAATCGTTTTTGTAAAACAAATACAGGCATACAGCTAATGATATTTATAATTTAGCATATTTATCATAGGTAATATATAAAACAATCATAAACTTTGAATAAAAATTAAATAGTTTAATGTCCACCAGCCTCTCCCCCATAGTTGCGATTGTGTTTACAAAATTCGATAATTTGGCTTTAGCCCTATTCCTCCAATAATAAAATACCTACTATTTTTCTTAAAACAAAAAATAAATAAATAAATCTTGGCCGTTTTAACCAATAAGGAATTAAGAATATAAAAAATATTTTTTCAAGTCATTATATTAACAAAAAAGAGGAATTTACCTTTGAATTATTAAGCAGTGGTTTTGAGATATTAGGTTAATAGTTTGATATAGGTATATTATCTAAAATTAACTATTAATTATAATTTAACATGACACAGGTATAGCTGGTATATGTATATGTGGGTATGTAAAATGCCTTAAAATTAATGTCTTTATTTGTTAGTCTAGTAAGTTGTTTATGTTTACTGTAAATTAATTAAGTACTCTTTTGGACATTTGGTTTTTCTTAATTGCAATTGTTATCATAAGTAATTGCCGACACGCTCAACAAAATAGTACAAGATAACAAAATACAGGGTTTCGTACAATATAATATATAATTTTATATTATATTAATTAAATATTTTTATATTGGTTAATATTAAGATATTGACATATGTAACTGCTATATTTGAACAACTTCTAAGTCAAAATACTTGTATTTATTAAATTATTATTATTATTATTATTTTTTATTATTTTTTTTTTAATCGTATTAATGTTTTTTTTTATATCTAGTATTATGTTCATATAACTTGTATATTTACATTTATTAATTTTTTATTAGAATTCCAATAATTCAGTGGCAGTCAGTTGTGGTTTTGTTGTATTTAATTAAGGTAATTGTAGTTATTATTTCTATTTTTGTTCCATAATTTTAAACTATATTTGTTTGTTTTTTTTAGGTTGACAGAAATGCTGCATTAATTTTTAGTAGTAGCAGTTTTTAAGTAGTTTAGTTAGGTTATTATTTTGTAACGTACTGCATTTGTATTTTTTTTTCTTTATCAAAATGGGACGACCATCATTGTGTACAAGAACTTGAGTATGATAAATTAAAAAAAAAGTTATGTCTGGCCTCTCGAGATATTTCGAATCAAAGAAAAATTCTTAATTTTAAATGTACCAAAAATATACTGTTAGATCCAGTGAATAAAGAATGAATTCAGATTGCCAGTGAAATAAACAGATACACAAGACTAGAAAATCCAGTTTTCAAATACTCGCATCATATACAATGGAACATGAAAAAGAGAAAAATGACGTCTGATAGTAGTCTTCGCAAAGTATATCTAGTAAAAGGAGAACACCGAATTCTACATCACATAAAAGACGAGAATAACAGAAATTTAATGAAACCGGGCAGCGATAAGATGTTTTGATATCTGAATATATATAATGAGAGGGTCACAAGGTTTATCTGAAAAATGTTATTCGAGCAATTGGTTACGTTTTCCGTCCAGTGTCAATAAGTGCTATTCCAATCCCCTCAGGCGATTGCAGATGTCAATTGCAACTGATGCCAAGAGTAGTGTACAGATATACACAAGTTGACATCCGCATATGAAGAAATCAAATGTTCTCCCATGGTACATAGTAAATGGTTTTGAGTTAAACAATATTTCTCCTTTAGTTACTCAACTAAATCAAATTGAAAAGCAGATGTTTTCACTTAAATTACCGTTTATGAAAATATTTATATGTCTGAGAAGTGATGGACAGTTAAAAACCAAAGGCAATATAATCAATGTTTCAATAGATCTCACCAAGACAACATCTATTTTGTAGCTTTTGTATTTAGCTGCAGTTAAGACGATGAAAGTGAAATTGAAAAGAAAATCATGTTTTAATTTTAAACAACATTATCTTTATCAAAATGTTAGACCATCCTTAATTGTAACAATGTTGAATGATTTGATTATAAAAAACCACTGTATAATGATGCAGAAATAAACAAAGTTTGGCTGGCTCAAGTCACAAGAAACATCAAGCGTATGGGAAATGACTCGGATCTCGAAAGCGAAATAACTGACGATGAAGATACAAATGTCTGATAATTTCCAATAAACCAATACTAGTAATGACCAAAACATAAAAGGTGAGGTTAGTATTTAAAACAAAAATCATCAGTTTAATTCCTTCGATTACTAATATATTGGTTTTAAATAAATCTACCTAATTATTTATTTATTAGGTCATTGAATTATAATATATATGTATGTGCAATGTGCATAATATTAGATGAAATAACACGTTACATACCTACAATACACAATTTTTTTTATATTGTAACTTGACTCTTCATCCTGTGTAAATTCTTACATCGGTTAGTTTTAAGAATGACAAGTCAAATTTCATAGCCCATAAGTACATTCATACATTATTACTTAAAAATTGACTCATAAACAGAAATATTCAAATATAATCGTAAGAGAATACAGCGAAAAACACCTATGACTAGGTACCTGACTACGGCTATAGATGATTAAAACACATTTTGTGAATCATAATATTTATGATAGGTAGGTATATTGTTGTCGATTGTTTGAACTATCCTTTATTTCAGGGAGAGATCTCTTACAGTTTCAAGTACCTGAACCTGTACTTAGGTAAATCGTGAATCGAACGTTTCTGTAAGAAGGTCATATCTTATAAGGGAATAAATAATAATTACTATATAGGTATTAATAATGTGACTATGGTTTTACGGAAAACCTACCATACACTTACTTTAGACGAGATCGATTTGTATTGTATTGTCACGATTCTGATGTGCACGTGAGGCTTAAGTAGACGTAACACGTAAGTACTCATATATTTGGATTACCGTTTACGTAAAAAAAATCTGGGAAAGAAAGAAGTATAAATATAAAGCCGAGTGCTGTACTACTGATTACCCAGTATGTACAAATGTCAGCACGATAACTACGATATTATTACAATATAAATTAAGTACTCATAAAACGAAGCCGTTTACAAATATAAAATAATGCCACCAAATTCGTCCACCTACGCTTGTGCCTTTAAGTATTTTTAGACATTCCAATGGCCCATAATTTACCACCGAAAAAATGTTGTTTTGATCGTTAAACCGAGTTTAATCGTCGCCCACCTCTGCCAGTGTTGACTAGTTGGTCTAAATTTACATATCATTATACAATATAATTATTAAGTATTTCCTTGTAAAATCAAATATAAACAACGAGGCGGAGTACATAATATTTATATATATAATATATATGTATTATCATTATATAATAGTTACAATCCGTACTGAAAATAACTGCAATACAAGTTATAATTAGCGTTCCTCATCCGTAAGCGCCGCATACTTTCTGAATGAGTTCTGTCATTTGTAAATATTATTACACACATCTTCCAGGGCTCGTCGACATTTTAATATTGTTTTTATTTCCTTGATATTTTCTAGGGCACTAGGGAAGTAATAATAATAATAAAAAATCAAAACAAACGTAACGCAAAGACATTTATTCTTTTCACAATCATTATAATATTATTAAACGCATTATACAGGCGTCTCATTACCACAGATGACACAATATTATGGTAATCGCAATGTCACGTGTTATTATGACAATAACTATTATTAATTTATTTAAAAAAAAAAAACAGAAAAATTTAATTCAAACTACATTTAGCTATTTATTTTAGCTACATACTTTTAACTACTAATAACATTAATAATAGGTAAAAAATATCACAGTCAAAATATAGGTATTGCTTAAAATGTAATAGTATTTTAATCACGTATTCCTTATAGCGTTACCTATCGTTTGTCTATATAAATTAATAACATAAGGTTGGACAATTTATTGTTTATTTAGATAGTATAAAACCGTGGTTAACAGTAAAATTCGGAGCCAAATATGAAACCGGTAACAAAACTATTTCACGCATACAAATATTGCATTTTATGTATCTATGTATAGGTGATAACGCGCGTAATGTAAAATGTATGTTGGATGTGATCGTTTGGAAAATTATTTTAAGATTTATTTTTTTATACATTTGATAAAAGGATTGTAAATACTAAAGAGAATAGCTAACAATTGTTTCAAGTGTTGACACTTTCTGATTGCGTTAATATTATAATGCGATATAATTTAGTCGATGAGTACTGAGTAGGTATATACAGTAAAAAAATATATACATAAAATATAAATGAAATATAAAATACAAAACAACAATGTACTGCAAAAAAACACATTACTTATTGCTAAACACGAGTACTACAAAAAAAAAAAAAAACAAAAAATGCTTATACTATAATATCTATGTGATATTATATAGAATACAAATTAAAATATTATAATATGATTAAAATAGGATGGGATTCACCTTGAGGACATAGCGCATTAATCATGATAATACTATAATATACCTAATATAATATGCCGTTACGTCCGATCGTGGTTTTGTACAAAAAATATTAAAAATAATGAGCTAAGGCTAATATTAAACTCGTGCTTAAGAATATTACGCTATATAACTTCTTGCCCACGTGGGTAATAAAAATACATCATACCATATTTAAATGTCATATAGGTACCTAGTCATATTATATTATTGGAGTTCAAAATTAATCATTTTATAATATTTTACGTCAGTTATGCACAGTGACGACGGTGTATCTATATTAAAGTATTAAAATATATCATATACAAAATAGAGTATAGTTAATGCTTAATTATCTACACCTTAATGAGAGCTAAAAAAAATAATATTTTAGTTGTGAATATTTGCAATAACGCTTAAAACTACAGAGAGCGCTTAAACGTTTTAAAATAGTAGCTTCAGAGATAAAATACAAACTATAATTCATAAATAAACGAACGGGTGTTACGGAGTACAGACGACCGCGTTATTGTTTTCAATTAAGCGACATTGAACTTGACCGCGATTCGTTTTTATAAATACTTACTATAATAATAGTAATAATTTAAAGTATTAATTTTCTGAGATTATAAATATTATACAAAAATATATGAACACAAGTTGGGCTCTTGCGGGTTTCTTACGCTACCTATTTATACAAAACCAACAAAACTTTTTTATTATATATTATGAACACTCGTCTAAAGTCTAAACATTGGAATTAATAGCTATATATTTGTATAATAGAAAATGTAACTAATGCGTAATAAACTATATAATATAATATATTAAACTCGTAAACAATATAAAATTCGTTAGATCATTTTGAGCATATTATACAATAAATAATAATAGTTTAATATATTTTTGGCCCGTACATCTTGGCGATTCGTCATCGAACGCGCATATATCGCATACATAATACCTACGTAATATTTGTTAAATTGCTTAAACACTATGCGACTGCGGCGCCGAGATCAACAAATCTTTCCTTATTACCTATTATAGAGCTATAATACATTTTAAAGATTCAGGTCTGTTTCTTAGTCATTATTTATGCATGGCCACCCTTATCTTTGACATTTTTCAATATTTGTGAGATACCGAAAAACCGCATTGAGTATACAATACTACCTACATAAATAAATAAATAAATAAATAAATAAATAAAAATGCTCTAAATAAAAAGTACCAAGTAATTAATGTTTTGCCGTTTAAGATCGTTATCCGAAATATATCATCTTTAAACCGGAGTGATAAAAAATCATTTTGAAATTTGGGCAGCATTATTAATTGATTAAATTACCAAGTATAGTAAAGGTATATTATAAGGCACACGCTCTTAAAGAAACGCGCAAACAACAATATAATTAAACGATAATAACGAAGACAAAAAAAAAACCATTCCCAGCCGGACTGCAATATTGCATACATCGCATACGATAATTAATGTTTAAGCATGCTCAATTTCACAACAATGAAATAATACTATAATCGGTGAAGGGGTAGGTGTCAGATGGGGTGAGAGTGCATTCTGCACTTGAGTCAAACTTAACCCGCAGGTTATCACGAACACGCACATTCCACGACGGCCATTTCTTTCCACGTGGTCACCTTCAACGAGCTCGGATCCATTTCGTCGACGTGAATGATCTGCAGCCGGTCGAGTTTGCTGGGCGCGCAACACGGTTTGGGCGGAGGCTGAGGGGCCCTTGTCGTGGCTGCCACCGCGCTACCACCGCCGTGGCGGACCTTTCTCCGGGACCGCTTCTCCCCTCCACGACGATTGTTGTTGTGCTGTTTCCACAACAGGCTCTGAATGAATGCGTGCCGGGTGGCCGGATTGTACTTAGCCGGGCACCGTCCCCGGCAAAGGCCCGCATCGAACCACTTGGGCTCGACGATAAAATCGAATCCCGGAATGTCGGCGAAAACGACACGCATCTGTTCCCGGCAACATTTGTTCCCTCCTCCGCCATGCTCGGTCCCGTTCTCGTTCCCCGCAGCCACCAATGTTTCGGCCTTGCAGTCGGTGCGCCGGACACGACCGGACGAGGCAGGCCGACGACGTTTTTTACCACGACCGTGGCTCCCGCCGCCGTCCCGTTTATTCCGTTTCGCTTCGCCGGAGCATCGGACGGCCACGGTCGCAGAACGCACGCCGTCTCCAACTACTCCGTCCATGAAAACGTGCAGAACGGGATGTCGGCCGTCATCGTTGTCCGTTTCGTTTCCAAAATGGATCGTTCCGGCCGCCGTTGCCGAATACCGCAACGACAGTTCCAGAAACGTGGCGACCGCATCACCACGATGGTGACGTTTCCGCGGCCGTAACAGGCGTGTGACGTCCACGTCTATCCACCTTCCATCGCTGCCGCTCGGCCACGTGAGATCGGTGACAAAGGATGGGTTTTCCCGCGATACAGCACCGGCTGACTTGAGGAGACGGCCGTACACTTGGACCCGTACATGAGGGGCGTCCGCGTAGATTCGGGCCACCGATTTGATGACCGACACGCGGCCGCCGCTGCCGCTCACCATCGTCTCATCAATCGGGAACGTAATCGTCGTAGTTAGCACATCAACGTCATCATCTGAAACACAAACAAGTCACATTTTTCTGTTATAAATTTGTGATTAGTGCGTATTATTACACTACATAATAGTTAAAAGCTTAAAATTGTATTTATTCTTCGATTTATATTTAGTTCTTATCTTATTTACAACTTTATAAAGAAAATACTTATTGATGTTAAAAGTTTTTTCTACGCTATGTACCTAAATACCTTGTCTATCACATATTATTAGACAACAACATCCGACATTGGGCAATATAAGAAAAATCTTTAAAATGTGTTATCTAATTTGAATCATATTATTATGTAAGTTAGTAAAGGAGTGTACAGGTAGTAATGACCGAAATGTTTAAGAAGACTGAAATCACTTAAGTTGGGTCTAACTGTGATAAATATTTATATACTATATCGATAATAACTATAGTGTTATATTAAAAATATTTTTAAAAAAATAGGTAATTAGTTTCCGGTTTAGTCAACGGTTACATACTCATAAGTCGTAACCATACGGCCCTACACAAAAAGTCACACACTACAACCACACACAGTTAAAGATCATGATATAGGAGGTATATAAATATTTTTTTCAAAATATTTATTAATTTTTATAACTTATGTAACGAAATTACCTACTTATTTTATTGGTGATCTTGCCCCCTGGTCCACTGCTGCTTTAACTCGACCCTTAATACGCCCACGTCACAAATTATTATAGCTGGCTTACTTAGGACTACACAGGTAAATCATGCTTGACCTAAAAGTATATTTTGTTATACACACCCACTTTTAAAAATACTCTTCGCTAATCGCTGATTGCTCATAATATGGTCATCAATCAACTATTTAAAAAAAAGTAAATGTGTATGTGACATATAGACTCGTGATACGTTTGCATCAACTTTTTTCTCTAATAAGCCAGGATTATAATTTAAATTTTTATTCATAAAGACAATATAATTTCAAATTTCAATTAGTTTTAAATATTAAAATCAAATTTGGTAGCATAAAGTGCATAAAGTGTGCCGAAGAATAGCATGCCCTGCGGCAAAGTACGTAGGCATCTAATATCGTTCATAATACTACATCAGTGTAAACATAATGTCGATTTAACACTAGGCGTTAGATGTAACCAAAATATCAATTTTGTATTATAGAAACATAATAAATAATAATAATATATTAATACATATTATTTATTCATGTTGTTTAAAATTAATATTACTTATTATATGTACTCTTTTAAAGTGTTAAAAAATCCGTTAATTTGTATTGTGTTGATGGTCGTATGATTTTAACAATGAAGATGAAAAATATAGCACGTGTAGAAATAATGTTAGTACGCGAAAAAATCAACTACAATAATATTTGTTCCTCGATCACAATCGATTTAACTATAGGTATGTATTATTTTATTAATTTGTACCTACTCTTAAACTCTTTTGACTAATTTAAATATACGACTTGTCGATACAATTTTTAAATTGCTGTTTTTAACGTGAAGATGACCGATGACATGCGGATTTCCAAGTACCTACTTATCTATGATAATATTAATACTTAATTGAATAAAAAAAATAGTGAATGTCGAGTTTAAAATATTATATAGTTGATCGATTGGTTTTAATAAAATATTATGTGTACCCATAGTCAATTATATAAGATATACATTACAGGTATACGTGAATCTATTACAAAAAATTTTACACAATTTAATAATAATTTAAATATTAAATTGAATTCATTTAATATGATCTCAATTAAAAACTGAAATTTCTGATTTACATCTTAAAGTACGATTCATTGTTAATTTGATCAATTGATTTTTAGTTTAACTATCTATTCTATTATTTAGGAGACAATTAAAAATAGTAAATACCTTATCATAAAATTAACCTAAATTAAAAAAAGTCAACAAGATAATAAAAATAAAAATGTACAGTTTTTTTGTAATTTGTTCTTTGACGATGCAAGTTGAAAATGGTTATAATTACCAAACATCATCACGAACATAAATTATATATGTTTTTTTTATATTTGGCATATGTTTATTGGTTGTTGTACACATGGTACTGACATTTTACTCACGTCGACCGATTTCTTATAATCGGTCCCTCATATTAACAAATGTGGGTCAGATCTTAAATAAATATTTCCGATTTTATCCATTTATTTTGTCTTAATAGTTTTTGTTTTATAAGTGTAATTTTTAAATCTTGATTTCACGTTTATGAAGTTTACAAATAAGTGAAGAACATGTCGAAATTTGAAAGTAGGCATATACAGATTCATTCAGGTTCTACTCGTACTTAAATAAGGTAAATCTTCAAATCGTCATTGTGTACCTATACGGATAAGTATATACGATGGTGGTAGTTAAATCTTAAATATACACTGAATAATATTAGTTGGTAGGTTAAGCACAAAGGTAGCTACATCAGGGACGAATTCATAGGGAAATTTATGTGGCATTAATGAGTTATAATGAGTCAAAGTTAAATTACAGAGTTACATTGAATTCTTATTGAATCCCGCGTCAGCCGTATTTAAGTTAACTAAATACATAATGAATAATTATTTTGAAATTGAAATCATGTTTTTAAGTTAAACGCATTTAATTATAGGTAAAAAATGTATTAAGTATCTGGAAATACACTAATATATGAATTTATATAATTTATTAGTCTAATAAATCACTTGCAAAAAAAAAATTGAACATCATTAAATTAATAGTAGGGAAATAATTTTTGAACGAAATTTCACCTAAACTTGAAATAATTTTTCAATCGGCTATTATAACTTCGAATTCGTTTAATAAACGCCGTTTATTAAATTGTCTTTGAATTGTTAAACTATAATACGAGTAACTGAGTTAAAAATCATTCATTAACTACTAGCCCAGTGCTAAACATTGCGAATAGTCCGTTAGTCGAATACGACCTGACGTAGGTAGGGTATAGTATTGGTTATATATACTTATATATAGATACCATCTACAATCAGCGGTAATAGATTATATTTATATACGATGAACAAGTAGACATACATTATTATTTATGACGTATTACCTGTCAGTAGCCGCGGAGTTTCGTCGTCTCTGTCATCGCCGCCGAAGTGTTTCACTCGGCCCCGTACTTGTATCGCGGATACGTCGTGGTCATCGTCATTATCATAACCCGCTGCCATTGTTACATCATCGTTTTTGTCGGGATCGTAAAATTCTGATTCATCCTCATACAATCGCCGGAAATATTCCAAATACTTGCAATGGAATTCATCGTTGCTGATGTCCACCTGCGTTAAAGAAAAAAAAACGAATAATTTTTATCTTCCTATTTACATATATATTGTTATGTATTATATTTCTTAGACACTCGTCCGGGCGGCTTTTTGTGTTTTCCATGTCGCTGACGTGTGACTGTTTTCTCTCATATAATTATATAGTATTATTATACTCAGGACGAATAACCCGACATCAAAATAATATTGATATCTATGAGGTATGATTTTTATCAGTGCAAGTAATGTATAAGATATAAGTTAAATAACAATATCATAAATGTCACATTATTACGCCATGCCATCTAGTTAAGAGGTCTCAAACTCATATTACCAGCGGACCATATATTTATACATCAAAGGTTTGCGGGAAATACATTTTTGTTCTCAATTTTTTTTTACTTATTTCCATAAAATGTATAATTTATATAGATATAACGATCTGTGAGTTACGTACACAGCACACAGACTAATAAGTATACTATACCTACCTACATGTAAACACCAATAGTTGAGACAGAAATACTGCGAGTCTATAAATGATAAAAATTATCGTATCGGTAATTAGGGATTACTATAACGAGGGATGTACAGATGAAACATTACGAATGTCAAGTAATACTATATTGATAATTAGGGAACAGATTTTATCGTTAATGCATATTTTTATTGGAATAAGATATTTTTAATCTGATGAAAAATGTGTACTCGCGATTTAGATCATTGAAACAAATCCAAATTTATTTTACATATTTTTACATATTTGGTAAATAAGTACATATTTTAGTAATTTTTAATTTTTTCATTGATTTTTGACGACTAAAAATTATCTGTATCGTCTAAATTAACAAGATTAGTAATTTTTGACCACCACCAAATATTATACGTTATCTAAATGACATTTACGTACATATTTCCGGCACTCGGCATGCCTCATCTATACAGATTATAACCAGTTCAGTTATTGTCGATATTGGTAATGCCAGACAATATAAATATAAAATAATTAAAACATAAAAAATATAATTGAAAACAATTTTAGATTTTAAACTATTAAAATCATCAAAGATATTGTAATTGGTAAAAACCAACAAAGAATTCTGGACATTGAATTCACTCGTTCTGATCTAGTAAACACGAATTACGGCCCTATCACATCTGTTGACGTAGAACTGTCTGTAGTAATTGCCTGAAGTCAATACACAAGTATTTTCCAACCAAACCGCTGCAATTTTTCATTTGCAAACCTTCAACAATATGTTGTTTCTTATTGCTTTTTTCCGGAATAATACATCAAATAATAGTTTTATAAACCTACATCTTTTTGTACTACCTACTTAAAATTTTTTTTCTGAAATTGTCAATACTAATGCATAAAATGCATTTTTTTCGATTTTTTCGGTATTTACATTTAAAAAATTTTTTTTACATATTTTGATGAAAATAATTACAGTGAATTCCGCTCCCACTTTTCAAGTTTTAACTTTAAATTAAATATACATTTATTATATTTGTAATCGGTGTATCAAATAACGCTATATTATATCCACGTGTGTTGCCTTCATCCAACAAAATTACATCGCTAAACCAAATTTGTGTTTAGCAAAACCTATAATAATATCATGTTAGCTATAATTTTGGAGTAAATAGATCTATTATCAAACTTAAGGTAAGGACACTATTTATGGTATTTTTGGTTGCACCTGTTTTTTTACATTTTTATTTTTAAACAAGTACCTATTTTAATATAGTTATTAGCTATACTCATCAACAGTATAAAATCATGGAGCAAAATATTTTTTCTAAAATTCTATAAAATGCCATATAAACCAATAAATCGAAATTAAAAATTAGGCATTTACACTTATAAACCTAATAGCTACTACAAATAATAAAAAAAAATATTGTAACCGATATGACTTCAATACCTTACATTCATCCAAATACAATTTTTTTTTGTTTTTATTAACTATAAAAATGTATCTATTAAATTATAATTTAATCTCAAAAATAAGTAAATTTAGTAATAAATAACTTAAAGTAACTCTATAGTGTATAAGATAACAAAAGTTCTATGAAAATTAAATTAATTTTAGAATCATCATTAACTATTTAGTAATTGATGGTGATATTTTGTGAAAAAAATAAAATAAAAATTGTTGTCTACAAAGACTGTTATTCCGTATTCATTTCTAAAACGTTTTATTCTACTGAAGATTGTCGAATTCTAACAAATTATTATTTATTGGTTAAATCGTTAAACGATTTCTTATGTTTTACATGTAGACTGATAGGCGATAACTGATAAATATATGGGTTCGTTGAATATGTAGAGTTTATACTATATATATATATTATAATATAGTATATTCGTCTGAAACAATTTCGGATCCATTAGGTAGACACTTCGTTTAAATACTATAATATATTTACGGTGAAATACCAGACGAATTGCGATTATGAATGAAATAACGGAATTAATCTATTTTAATGATTTAGGCAAGCCATGACGTGTTGCACTAATTATAGTTGTTACGAAACATAATAAAATTATACTCCGTTTATTATGTATACTTTTTTTTTAATTTCATAATAATATTGTTTTATATGCTTTATCTGTTTTACGGTTGTCCTGCCATATAAATAACCATCATCGCAATAAATAGTTTCGTGTAAGCATAATAATAATTTATCGCACGGCGCACTCACTGGCAATCTCTCCAAAAATATTATAGAACAATTATTTGTCTTTATTATCGTCTATTAGTGTAAGAAAAAAACAAATCAAGATCCTGTACCTTAATACTAAGACTATCATCGATAACCGTTTAGTTTTTTTTAACTATTCCATGTCTTTTATATTATAACTTAATGATAGTAGTACGATTTATTTTCTTTATTTTAAATTTCATTATTCCACTGCTATTTTAGCATTTTAATTTTAAAATTAAACGTATTTTTATATTAACAAGTAAGTTATTTATTAAGCAATTTAGTAATTTTTTTTTTAAATCAATGAAATGTATATCCCAGGTGTCATGAATGCAAATACTTACGTTCATTTTTATGTTGTATGTATTATTATCGATTTATTAAATTGAATAATACAAAAAACGTATTTACTTTATACATCAATCGAGACAAGGTTTTTTAATTTTAGGATAGAATTACGACATGATGTGTAATTTTTATCGTTCTTTACCAAACGGAGAAAACAATTGAAGATTTTTCAATTAGTATACTGATGGATAATAATGATAATAATAATCGATGCACCGGGAAAGTTGAAATTAAAATTCTAAATCTCAACGAATATTATTTGTCCTTTGATTGATTGAAAAATGTAATAGGTATGCAAAAATAAATTTACAACTTATTCACCTATAAATAAGTATTAAATACAATGTAATAAATGTACCCATGGGCTATTCGTGGCGAGATTTTCAAATTGTCTCATACATACGATTATAATATAACACATGTCACAAAACTACTACATGTTTATATGTCGAAAACGATTCTTTCTTTAAAAAAAAGTCATACCTATGCATAAAAAATATGTATAATAGTTTTTTTTTATATTTACATACCTATTCAGAATACGTAATTTATTACCTACCTAATTGGTTTTTTCAACAGAGTATAACGCGTAGCATTGGTATTATATGGTACCTATATATGTAACATATATACTGTTTAATAGATAATGAGGAACTTGTATACAAGCCTAAACATTTCGATTATATTTGTATACACGAATTCCTTCTTAATGGATGCAGTCACAATTTGAGTAGGTATATAGTATAATAATATACATTATTATGTTATTTTATTACTCGAAAAAGAAATAGGAGAATTCCAACGACGAAGTTAATGTATCGATCGTTATATTATTATTATGTATTGTGCACGAAACGCATTAATGGTATTTGTCAAGAAGCGAAGCAAACTTTTTTTTATCTTCTTAACAATTAAAATCCCATAATTCTTTTAGTTTACGTAACCCGCATTCTTAGATTTGGATGAGTATAATATTATATTATTTATATGTTTTTATACTGAGGAAACTATTTATTAATGTTATGATTGTTTTTTTTCCTATTAACACTTTAATGATCATACACTCTTCCATCTATAATATGAATCAACGAATATACACCATTTAAAGATATAAAAAATCAGTAAACTTCACTAATACCTGTACAATGTACATAGATTGTTATATCTAATTTATTAAGAAGCCTTGCACACTGTAAACACAAAAAAAAACGAAACAAAATAAATATGTGTGATAATGATACACCTTAAGTTCTGGGAGCTAAAATAATATAAACTATACTCATACACTTTCTAGGTACTCACTAAAATAAGAACTTAAAGAACTCATTACAATTGTAATTTATGGTAGTGTAATATTTTTTAGATTGGATTAAATATTTATAAACGGTTATTTTTAATAATATATTAAATATAAAAAAAAAGTTGTTTATTATACACAAAAACTAAACTTAAGAAAAGTCAGTTAACACAAAATAGTTTTCATCTATCTATTAAACGTACCTACCAATATATTGAAAAACAAAAATAATTAAATAAATAATTATATAGATTTACAAAAAATATTTAGGAAATAAGTCTGAATTATTACAGTAAATCACCCATCTATTAATGTAGAACTGCAATAGAACTGCTACCTATAGCTGCCGATAGTTTTGGTCTTGTGAACAAAAAATACACCAAACATTTTCGTTCCCTTTGAAATAGAATGGATTATAATCTTCGTTTATATTAATTATGGAAACTCTTCTCAATAGGTTAGGTTTCAAAGAGTTATCAAAAAAAAAAAAAACTGGGGAAGTCCTTCTGCTGTAGTGCATAGTATAAGATCATGTTGACTGTCGAGTGTTCTTAACCATTGGGAACAATGAACAATTACATGTGTTAAATTTGAATAAAATGATGAACCATTGTATACCTAAAAAAAACTATTTGAGCTTAGATTATATATTATAATCATTTTAGAGGTTGCTCAATCCATTAATGACGTATAAATACATAATAATATTCTTGTGTATAATGGTACTGAATATTCGATTTTTATTTATGAAGGTAATAATAGGTGGTTTATGTTGTAAATGTATGCACGAATTTCCAATCGTCTATTTTATGATTTATTAAAGTTTCAATTCCAGAAAACGATAAAATATGAGCAGTTCCAAAAAAAATAACGGTTAAAAAATTGTTCTTCGCCTGTCCATTAGTTATAACCTATTAGTTACAACCCATTGTATCTTAATAATTTCAGACGACGACGTCTGGTGATGACGTTGATGACTAATAAAATGATTGTTAAAACTGTCATAAATATGAAATACGCACCCCCGTATAAATTGCAATCAAATTGTGACATGGGTTAATACTAATAAATACAATATATATATATATATACAATATATATGCACATATACACATTATATGCATCTATTTATTTAAATACAAATACTATTAGGTACATAATATTATATACCTAATATATGAATAGTTTTTATAAAAATAAAATAACATATTAAAATCACTTATTAGTTATTCCTAATAATACTGTTTTACAGTTGACTATTGGCATAATAGTTTTTCTATCAGTGTTGTCAGTTATGACTGTTTAGTGTAACACTACAAGCCGTGAGCAATGGGTCGATTTAAGATCACTTAACCTAATCAATTTATACACATATTACATGATATGATGAAAACTCGTAAACGTAAGTAAAGACAGCAATGGTCATTGGTCAAGTTAAAGTAAGTTAAAAAAGTAATAGTGTAATACGTATTATAGTTTTTATTTTTTTTTTAGCAAAGTAGAAAAAGCCTTAATTTCTTCAACCCTTTTGACAACTATTATTAGATCTTATTATTTGAGATATGACATTTTTGCTTCTAACTTAACCTTTTTTTTACATTTTACCTTTTAATAACAATAAATACCAGATCCAGAACTATACTGCAATTTTAAGAACCGGAAACAATAAGCTATACCGAATTTTTCTTTTTAAATAACTTAAGTGGAATCTAAGCTAAACAAATCATATACAGGTCCCTGTGTGTCATTTAAAATGTCAAAAATTATACAATGTATAATAAGACACCCACATAATATAACCATTGATTGCGAAACAGAATATTATTATTCATTTTAAATACATTTATCTACCTATTATATACTTTCCAATTGTCCGATCGCCGTGTGCAATCATTGTTTCATATTACTGTTCACTGTATACTGTATAGCGTGTACAATGTACATATAAGAGGCACCTATACACCTATGTCTATAATATAAACTAATATGCCGAGAGCTAAGGCGGAACGTTTGTGAGTATACCTATTTTATGGAAGAAGAAGCATATATATAAAGTGTCCCCTGCGCTTACGTGTGTCCAACGTGAGTGCACGTGGATGAGTATTTAAAATGTAATGTATTATAATACAGTCAAACGAGAAATACGTGATTACTGATTAACATCGACTATATTATATCGGCCACGGATTTTAATAATATAATAATGTATTAATTTAATAGTATACCTATCTAGCATCTGCCTACCAAATGATTATCTTACAGTATATGCGACGTCGTCTATGCTGTGCGGTGATTTTAAATTTCTAATCCTATATTAGTTTATTAGTATATTTGGGCGAGTAAAATTTATGACCGAACGCTGCCGCCGCTGCCGCTTACAAGTCATTGAAACTGAAAATCATTAAATAGAAGCGCGTGAGTATATATATATATAGTAATAATACATTAATACTTATATAGGTATATTATATATATATAATACCTGTATAGTTTATATTATATTACTTATATCTATACCAATAAACAAAAAAACGGATGTGAGATGATACGTTTTAGATTTCAAATCGTATATAGGTAATATATACGTATAAACTAACCAGTGTGCAATGCTGGTCGTATTATACTTATTAACGAGTCGAGAAGCTCAAGCAAGTGTTAATATGTTAATTTTCATTATTTGCATAACGATAATATTTCCATAAATTAATTGATTTTTACTAATTTATGTAATATTTATTAATTATTATAGAGTTGAATATTTTTCATCACTATAATTTATTATGATATTAAGTTTTTTTAAGAAAAATTAATAATAAGTAATAACTAATAAGTAGGTATAATAACCAAAAAATATTTAAAAAAAAAATGTAATTGATACAAATGACGACGGTTAAAAAATAAAAGTTGAGACAATTATAGAAAAAACTACTACCATATTCTTTAATATAGATTAGACAGGACCATACATTACAGTTAAATCGATCCCATTGATTTCGTATCTCATAGCTCACGTCTAAAGCATTTCAGATAATCCACTAAAACGACTCGTTCAGAGATCATTCTACTGTAATTCAGTAAAATCTTTGTACATATATAATGCATTAGCGTATTTATAAGTATTATTTTGTCACCCTGGAGCAAAAAAAAAAAAGAAATGCCCCTCAAAGAAATCATTTTTTATGATATAAATATAAGAATTCTAGCCACTCATGGTAACAGCACCAAGGAGTTCCGCCGCAATTATTAAATATGGCCAACCACCGGCTGAGAAATCTATATATATATATATATACGTATTGGAACAATATTTTATTATGGTGTGATTATCATGCACGTGTGGTGTACCCAGTGGGGTATTTATAATTTATATATGATTAGATGCTAGTGTAGCACATTTACCGTCCTCGTTCACTTAGTTGTAAATACTTTTAGGCATATTGTTTATACCCGAACTACTCTCCTTATGACCTTACATAAATATAGGAATATTAACATATTAATATATTATTAATATATTAACACCTTAACGCAATGCAATTATAAGCACGAAAATCAAAAGTAAATAATATTGGGTTGCATTATGAAATATTAATTTATTACCTACGCGATATACAATTTTAGAACTGACCCACTCGTCACGCTAGAACCTTCCAGATAAATAGATATACTAGCTTATATACAGATGACATTATTATACCTTGGTCATGTCCGGTAACTTTTCCAGTTTCAGCCCTTTGATTATGTTACGTCCCAGTTCAGTGAGATGAACGTGCTGCTGCTGCTGAAGGTGTTGCTGGTGTCTGTCGTCGTCGGCAGCCGCGGCGCAAGTCACCGCCGTCATGAAATCGGCAAGCCGAAGAACGATCAAAAGCACGGCGAACCGGACCGCGCGGCCGACGACCGGCACGTGCGACCACCAGACGTCGGCGCTGCTGCCCATCATAATATTATAATTTTATGTTACGAGGAGATCGCGGTAAGCACGTCGTTGATATGTACCGTCCGTCCGCGAATACGATCAGCTCAAAATGTACAAAAATAATAATCGATGCGGACGGTGTTTGCGTTTCGCGCGCAAGAGGTCGTATTATTGTATACGACCACGGTCCGGGAAGCGATGGTGATGCACGCGACCGCGGTCCGGGGCTATACGCTGTCTATAGCTGCGTGCGCGGGCGGCGAGAGTGCGTTATTCGTACGCGGAGGATCCGGTGTGCGTGGTCGGTTGCTCGCGACCGCCGTGCACGGTCGTTAATGCGGACTGAACGCGTGCGACCGACGGACCGCACGTTTTATACGCCGCGGCGTCAAAGTACGATTACACTATTATTATTATTATTGTTGTTGTGGCGGCGGCTAAAGTAGTCGTTTTACACTACCGGCGCCCGCAAAGAAGAAAAGTTAAATAAATAAATATTATTAGACACGAGGCACACGCGTCCGCACACACTGACATGCACGCACTCGATCGTTGCTCGTTCACCGGCGATGAGGTTTCGTGACGATTCGGTGTGACGACGATGACGTATCGTCGTCGTCACTGCTCGCCGGTCGCCTAATTATATTGTTTCGTAAACGGCCGTACATATCAACAGAGAATGCAACTCGAGTGCGTGTGCGTGCGTGTTCCCAGGTGGCCAGGTGGGACACTCCAGAAAATCTCTATTACCCCCTCCCACCACCTAAACTCAAGAGCGATGCGTCTGTAGTTGTTGTATGTCATATTGGTACTTATTTTTTATCCGTTTCGGTTTCAACGAAACACGCGCATTATGACATGGCAGATTTGAGGAGGTATAGGTACCGTCGTCACCATCAATCGATATAATAATTACAATCGAATTGATATGAAGAAAACGGACACGTGTATGTTGTTCCTGTAGAATGTTTTCGTATGCACAGAGACTACAATTTCTGGCTGCCATCAAGTACATCAAAACATGATAAGGTGAAGATATTCTTGGTATTCTAATATAATATTATACAAGTGTGTAATCATGTGAGTAGGTATGGAAGTACGATCTGTTAAAACTAAAATATTGCACTTTTACACAAATTAAATTTTTAGTGCCTCGCTATGGTTTATTGTTTTTTAGCGCACGCGCGTGCCATTAGTTAAATACGTTTCAAGCGATGCAGCCGGAGTGCAGCTGTTGCAGTTGCAGCACAGTCACTGCAGTTTCGTTCTGCTAGTGCTAAACTGCGGTTGCCAATCATCGCTTACCTGCAGTATGTATCCAGTAACCACTTAAACCACCTATATTAAATAATAAATTTACCATAATATTTATATTTCTTTGCTGACATTATGGTTATCGGCGATTTAAATTAAAGTCTCTACAGAACAGGAGCGGAACTGCGTGAGCGGCTCACTACACAGCCCCTCCCTCGCATCCAACCCTCACTATACGCCTATAAATGTGTGTGTACATGCGTTTACAGGTCATCCATTACTGCCGCTGATGCCGTCGACGTGTTGACCGCCGTGACCGTCGTACTTATATTTCACCATGTATTACACACACGCACTCAAATACATTTATACTTAAATTGCTTTACTATGCATTTTTTATGATTTATTAATTATAACTTATATTTTTTAGCCCACAAGCATAAAATATATGATTGTTATATAATATAATAAATAGTGATGTAGTAGCTCAGAAGCTATCTGATTTATTGAACCATGGAGTATTTAACTATTTAAGTACTTACTTGTTTTTATACGTACGAAATTAATGAACAATTGTACATATTGAAAAGTAGAAACATTATAATATAATGTTGTCTGTTACACTTTGAGAAACTAAGCCAAGAGCAGCTAAAACAACTGGCCCCTAGGTGCAACAAAGTGGAAAGAATTCACTCAAGATAGAGAAATTTAGAGGGTTTTCATAGCAGCCACAAAAGCTCTCCGTAAGCTAAGGAGCGAGGAAACAAGTAGGTACACTTTAAAATAGTACATTTTCAAATTATTCATACATACATTTTGATTACATTGTGTTGGGATTGATTTTAATTAAATGTTTTATGTTTACAGGTGTATTCATCAACTTTGACAATCAAAGAGTATATTATACTCTGCAGTCTCTCGTAAAATACTTGTAATGAAAAAACGAACGTTTATCGCTTGGTCACTCGGTTTACTATTATATTGTTAAAAATTCTGATTTATTTATTGAGTGCCAATGTTTTTTTTTCAAACAGATTCATACAGGCAGGGTTAATGAAAATTACTTTAGAAAAAAAAGTTCGAACGAATAGATATTATAGTATATTGTAGGTACTACCTAAATCTGAGGCGGCGATTTCGCCTCGATCATTGCCATATATGTCGCCGCGACGAGAACAATAAATTATCGCGGCGCCGCGCACTAAATATAATATAATATATACACTATAATACGTATAATATACTACATGCTGCTGTTAGTTCGTGTAATACAATATACCTAGTTATTTTTAATTTGTATAGTGAACTGTAGTATTACGCGTATGGATAATAGAGGTATGTATACACATATTTATTTATATAGTCAGTACACTATGTAGTATCATGATGAAAAAAAATCGAAATCCGGTAATACATTATTATATAAAAAAATGTTACGAATGATAGTTCTCAGAAGTACATGCCGCGGAGTCTACACCGGTCCACGCATAATATAATGATCAATAATTATATTATATACGTCTGCAGGAACACCAATAGGTAGTAAGTACAGGCGGATACAGCAATAACAGGCGACTGATCTAAGTATATTATATATACGTAATAAATAATTATTATATATTATTATTATTATTAATTGTATCACGTTATTATATTATACACCTATATGTATATTGTGCACACGTACCTTCATATTATTATACACTTGTAGGTAGCAGACGGTCAGCGTAATAATAATAATAACAACACTTGATCGTGTCGTGGACAAGGTAGGAGGTGGCAGCTGTACAATACATAATATACCCAGCCATAAGCGCGCGACCTGTTGCTCGCTCGCGTCTACCTTGATGTATTAAAATAATATATTATAATAACGACCATACGTGAGTCTAATTGGCGAACGGCGGCGGCGGCGGCGGCAGTGACGAAAAACGGATGTATCATACGCGTATTTTTACTTTTTACTTTTTCTTCTCCTCATGCTACTCATTGTAATTTCCACGGAAACCGGATTGAGTCACACCGCGTATAATATATGATTATTATTGCTAGGCTGCTAAACACCATACAACAGGAGTACCTAACTCGGTCTAGTATTGAATATTTTTGTTGTACTTGGAAATTGCAATAGGTACTATTACATAAACTTGTAAAAACTTTCTGCGAAATTAAACGAATAAGTAATACCTAAAAAAGTATTCGAATATTGTTCTAAGCAGAGAAGCATTTGGTTTTTTTGTATGTTTAAGTCACTTTTATAATTTCAGTAAGAAAAAATCTGAAAATTAAAAATCCAAGTATTTTTCAAAATAGTCGTTAAAAACTAACTGAATTACCGAAAACGGGTATTGACGCAACACCAAATTTTGAAAAAATCGTTTTTTTTTCGTGGTAGGTAATTCAAATAAATTCAAAATTGAAAAATCGTATAGAACATATACTTGAAGTATGCATCAAACATTAAATTAGCATTACCTAAAAATGATATAATTTTCATAATATTTAGGCTCTTGTTGAGCTATTTATAAACATTTGACATTTTTGATTTCTTACTTTTTTTACTATAAATCTTCATACAATTTTTTGATTCTAAGTCAAAAAGCTTTAAAAATGAATAAATGTATTGATTTTACAATGGTGTGTGTTTTTTAAATTTAATTTTTGCCTGTCACCTTTTGAGGCAGTAAAAGTGCTTCGGTTTTTTTCAAAAGCATAGTTTCTGGTAGGAAAGTAAATCTTGTTGGTTCTTTGGAGGGTTAAAAGTCAAATTTCCCAATAATTTTCAACATCGGCAGGAAAAACAAACAACAATTTAAGGAAAAACAGGAATTTTTACAAAAAACTTGTTTTCGACAAAATCGATTTTGGTTTTTGATGTTACTTTAAAAAAAAATTTACTTATAGATACATGATATTTTCATGTCATGTTAGCATTTTCCATACACAATACATTTTTTTGAATAATTTGAATTATGTTGAGCTACGTATTTATAGACATATACAATTTTCGATTATTATAAGTTTAAAAAAAATTAATATCGATAAAAATATTGTTGGTAGGTCAAAAAACTTGAAAATATAAATACAAGGTTCCTCGGAGTTGTTGTAGTGGAAATTAAAAAAGCGTTAAGCTACAATAATTTTTTATGAACATTTGAATTTAGAATTTTGTCAAAATTCATAAGAATCACGAAAATTAGAAAAAAATATTTTAAGTTAAAAATTCATAAAAATCTTCCTTTTTATATCTATGATTATAAAATTTAATACAAAATTCCTTTAAAATTGTCTATCTTTATTAAAAAAAAAAAAATTACCGGAAAATCAAATTATATTTTTGTGAGCATTTAAAGTTGAAATTTTGACAACATTTGATTTCTCATGTAGCGATTTTCTTATTTGTTGTTATTTGATAACAAATAACTGTGAGTACTTTGAATGTACACCATATGTTCATTTTATCAATTCATATACTCGATACAATTTTCAAAATATTTTGACTAGATATGAGCAGTTTATGGACATTTTCAATTCTCAACTTTTTTATTTTATTATTTTTAGAAATATCAATTAAAATGTATTAGCTTTGTCAAAATGCAATACAAATTTAAAACATGGATCCTGATATATTGTTACAACATCAGTTGAAAAATATTAAAAATACAAATGTATGATTTTGTATTATTAGCATTTAAAGTTCAAATGTTGTCAAAATGTACAAATTATTTTGTAGTTAAATATTTATAAAATGTTCAACTTTTATGGCTTAAGATCAAAAATTTAATATAAAATTGCACATACTAATACTGTAACTAAAAATCTTAAAGATACATGAACACAGTTTTTTTAAAGTAACCTATTTTGTGTTCAAATTTGGACGTAATGACGTATATTTAAATAAGCCAGAATAATGATAGTAAAATAAATTTAGTATTAAAATAACATTATCAAATAAACTCAATTACCAAGTAATATTATAAGCTGGCCGTCTTCGCTCAGAATCGTTTTTAGTAGGTATACAATGATTTTATATCATTGAACTCAAATGAAAAACATCCATTTCGTGACCTACTTGTAACCTACTGTTGAGCTGTAGGTACAGCAGAGCGACATCCACTTATCATCTTTTTTTAATTTAAAGAACTATGGCTTAAAAATGTAATTCATGGTTTGGTGTTGTTATTTAAGTAATTTAACGGTTTCCAAAATACATATGCCCAGTAACTGTTTTCATAGATATTTGATATTTTAATTTTGGATATTTAAACGAAAAATTTCGATTATTCCTTTAACATATTATTCTTATAGGGTGTTACGACTTATAATATGTATGCATATTATTATAATTGTCTATTGGTACACAATGGAATTTTAAAATTTTCTAATATAAATAAAAAGGGGCTTAATAACACTGTACCTTGAGAAACCCCACAAGACATTTCTAAAGTTTCGACCTAAGTTCTATCAACTTTCTTTGAGTTCTACAACCTAAAAATAAATGCAATAAGTTACTAACCACTCCTC